CGGCGTCCAAGCTGCGCACGAACTTCTGATGATGTCCATGTTCAGCTGCGTCCTCCGCGTGCTCATAGTTGTGGGCTATAATTTAAATTGGTGATACAAATTGAGAAATATYTAAATGATTYYAGGACTTGCCTGCAGACAAGCTGAACACGATGCCCAGGAAGAGAAAAGCCAGAAAGAAAATCTTCATATTAATGCTGGAATGCTGGTCGAGTGGTAAATGTAGTACGATCGCATGGAGGGCTTCAATTTATAGTCGATCTTGTTACTTACACTTGGCACGACTTGCTTTTCTTTTTTGAACAGGTGAAATTATAATTAGTAAATAGGAATACCCACCTCGTAATAAATCAACTGTTGCTTATGAGCAATAATACTCGTARTCTTGAATCTTGAGTACGTACATTTGTACCTGTATATTATATATTGGTTCTATTTCATTTGTAACTAAAAGACGCATATGAAATAAATTTAAAAATTTATTTGCATAATAATTATACAATCCTTTACAGATGAGAGCATATTGTTGAGCAAAGGACCTTAAATCATTATTATATTAAATTTGTTCAAATATGTGAGTTTCTTAAGCAAAAATCGTGTCAACAAAAATTTATTTCCAACCTCAACCTCCTCGTAAGGCCAATGGAGATTTTATATACATACATCATGTCGACCTGTAAACTGAGCAACAATTATTATACATATCATTAATTTGGTTGCGTGATCCATAAATCAATTAATTATATTTGTTTCTCTGCCAAGCGTAGCCAATCGGTACATTGTACAAGTGGAGTGTTTTTTGTTTGTATAATTTAACCAAACGAAAGGTGTCTCACGGTGATAAGATTAGATTAACTTGGATTATATGCATTTAACTAAGGTTTTCAGATGCGAAAAAACGATCAGTACGGAAGTGTGCATCATCAGGATCTAAATGGATATCAGCAAAGCAAACTAAATGTTTGTGTCTAGAAAACTTCATGTATTGCATCCATTGTTATTACTTTGCCG